CTTCTAATGGGCAAGAGAACTGGCCAGCAGGAAGTGAAATTACTTGCCCAAGGTCGCACAACGAGTATATAGCTTCCATGTCTACCTGACTTGAGGTCCACTCCTGGTGTTTTCATTTTAACAAGGAACCTTCAGGATCCCCCGAGATAGCAATTGGATATGGGTTATTCCTGAATGCTTTCTACTTCCAACTCCTAAATTCCATTCTGACTCCAAGAAAGCTATCTCTGGCTAAAGAAGGCAGTAACATTTTTTTTTTTTATTTGAGCATTTCTTGTTTTTTGGTTTTTTTTTTTACAAATAATAGTGTTGAAATAAAATTGAATCGCTAAGGTGTATGGAAATTAAAAAATGAAGGTTCTCCCCACCCTGAATCTCACTGTTAAGAAAGTATTGTTGGGCGCCTGGGTGGCTCAGATGGTTAAGCGTCTGCCTTCGGCTCAGGTTATGATCCCAGGGTCGTGGGATCGAGTCCCGCATCGGGCTCCCTGCTCCTTGGGAGCCTGCTTCTCCCTCTGCCTCTCTCTCTCTCTCTCTCTCTGTCTCTCATGAATAAATAAATAAAATCTTCAAAAAAAAAAAGTTTAAAAAAAAAGTATTGTTGTCAGCAGTTTCTTGCATATCTTCCAGACTTTTTTCCATACATTTATGATCACACACACACACACACACACACACACACCATAAAAATGGTTAAAGATTTTTTTGTTTTTATTTTAGAAAAATAAAATCATACTTAACAGAGTGTTCTGCCACCTGCTTTTCTCAATTAATGTATCTTAGATATATTTTCATGTTAATATACATGGATTTTCCAATTCTTTTCAAGACTACATAGCATCCCATTCTATATATTTTTTTTAAATTACATCAATTGAAACACATTTAGATTGAATACAGTTTTCACTATTATGGACAACACCGAAGTGTCCAACTTTGCACCTACCTATCTTTGCACACTGGTGCTAGGATTTCAGTGGACTACAACCCTAAAAAGTAGAATGGCTGATAGGAACCTTCTACTTTTACAGATACTACCAAATTTCTGTGCAAAATTAATGAACCAATTTATGTTACCAATTCTTATGAAGGACTGTTTTATCACAAGTAAATTTTTAATTCAGATTTTAAGGAATAAGAATAAATCTTTTCAAATAATAGAAATGTATATATTATCTAAACTTAATCAAATGACTTCTCTCTTTAATTTCCTATGAGTTTGCCTAAGGAATATTTTTTCCTAAGTAATTGATTATTGTGCTCAGGTTAAACAATTATATGACTTTTTCAATTTGGGGAAAAATACATTAAGAAGAGTGTTGGAAAAGTTTATAACTGATCCACAAGAGTAGGAAGAAACTTAGCAAATCTACGTCGTCATTTATCATTTCTCAAAGAGATAATATATGATAGTAGTTAATAACTCAGGTTCTAGAGTGACCCATTCAACCATTCACCCAGCGAGTATTTGTTGAGCATCTACTGTGTGCCAGGTTCTGTTCTGGTATCAAATATGTGGGTGAACAAGACAAAGAAGACTCCTCTGCTCTCATGCAATTTATTTTAGGGTGATAGAGATAAAAATAAATTACTTAACAGAATAATTTCAAAAAGTGATAACCAAATAGACTATCATGACCAATCTCTGGGGAGGAGGGCCAGGGTGCCTGTAGACTTGATGGCCAGGCTAAGGGTCTCAGAGAAGGGGACACATGGGATGATGCCTAAAGAATAAGATTGAGCTAGCCAGGGGAAGTTCTGGGGCAGAGAAAGGGCAAAATTCCTAATGTGGGAAGAAGCCTGGCCTGGTCAGGGAATGGAAAGACCAGTGGGCTAAACTGTGGCACACAATGTTGTAGGAAAGGATTGGGTAAGGCAATCAGGTAGGGCTTTTAGGCCATTAGGAGACATGGGCTCTCTATTCTAGGCCATTAGAACTGTCATAAGCACCAGAGGGGCATACTCTATACTTTAAAAGACCATTCTGGCTAATATACCCTCACCACGTATTAACTGTATGTCCTTGGATAAGCTACATTACCTTCCTTAGCTTCCATTTCCTCATTTGTAACATTAAGATAATAACAGTATGTATTACATGTATTAATATGAGGATGAAATGAGGTAATGAATGGAAAGCATTTTGCACACTGCCTAGCACATAATAACTGTTCACTAAACGTTTTTAACTAAATCACTTTTACATCATTAAGATCACACTGAATAGAAGTGAGCATAATTCACTATTCCCAATTATGTAGCATAATAACTAAAAATATCCTTTAAAATTACTCTTGATTCAAATTCTCTAATACTGAGGCCAGATTTGTCCATATTGAATCAACATGGCACTTTTATCTGATCCTATAATACAGCCCTGAGCTATTTAAGTGTATGCGCACACTCCTTACTCTCACACACACTAGATTATCCATCTTTGTGTTGCCCCCAGAGCCCATAACACTCAATACATCATCTATAAGGTAGGCAAGCAGGTAGGTAGATAAGCGGATGAATGAGCTAACAGAGGATAAAATAACACAGAGGATAAAAATCATGGGGGGCAAGAGAAGAGAGTGTTTCAAACTGAAACACTTTAAAGTTTTTATATTATGAGTATATAAAATGTGTAACTGATCATATCTTGCCAAGTTTATTATTCTATCCATGTACTTACAGAGTATTGGACACCATGTTGAAATTCTATAAGAAGACACTGCTCTATTGTAAGGACTTAACTGCCTTCCCATCTTCTTCATCTCTACTGAAAATATTTAGCAACACTCTGAGAAACAGGAAAGAAGTACTTCTCATAAACCAAAGGAATGAAGAATTATGAACAACAGAACCAAAATTGTGAAACCTGCTGTGTGTCTCATTTAGTCAGGTCTCTCTGTGATGTGACCTAGGACATCAGGAAAGTTTATAGGTAGAATTCCAATGTCTAGGCTTTGAAACAAAGATCCACAGTAGTTGTGGAAGCATTTTTTCAGTAATTTTGTATCTAAATATGTGAACTGTTTCTACACACTTGAGAGCAGGTAATGGATGAAAAGTGACCCTATACCCAAATACCCGGGACAGAGAAGTTTGAGAAGTTACTGATTTAATAAAATAAAATTAGTAAAAGAACAACTGGGAGCAGAAAATTACACCCTTTAATGGAGACTGTTCTGTGATATAAAAAGTACTTTTCTCTGCATTGTCTTATTTTGATCTTTACAACAACTCTCTAAGAAACCACAGAAGAGTATCAATGATAAAGATTTAAAAGAGAAAGAAAGAAAACATGGCCAATTATGTCTGCAGTTTACACACATAAAAGTTGACACACTGAGCAGATGATTTGCCCCACGTCTCTCAATCAGTAAGTGGCACAGCCGTAATTCTAACCTAGGCCTTCTTAGTATACTTTCTGCCACCCCACACTAATTCAGCATGCCACAAATAGTGCAATTCGTTAAAACGGAATGCAGCTCTATTTAAAAAGAGACAGAGGAGTGAACTGTATATAAGTTGTAAGTAGCGTTATTATCACTTCTCCTTGACTATTATAAATCCTTTCAAGCAGGACAATTATCCCTATCTGTAAGCATCATTCCTCACTAATCATTAAAATACTACATATTCCCTAGATCCAAATAATAATAATAGAAGTAGTAACAAATAATAGCGATGACAGAGCTTTCATCTCTTGAATACGTACGCACCAGACTCTGTCTTGCATTCCCCACATTCACTGACTTCATTCTGACAACAACCCTTTGAGACAGATATTGTTATCACCATCACCATTGTCATCATTACAGAAATGGACAAAACTGAGGCATAGAGAGGTTCAGTACCTTGCCCATGACCATTTGGCTAGTAAATTGGTTCGGTGACTCTTAACTGCAACATGCTTATGTCTATGCTACCTCTTCAAATAGAAGCTTCTTTATCCCAGTCCTCTCCTCTTTTAGATTTAACCAATGATAAAGGAAGAATCTCTCATTTAGATTAACATTTTAAACCCTTTCCATGCATTTCTAAACAATACCAATTTTGTTGACCAATCACTACACTTCATCTTCAAAGTGCCTCACAGAGAACCTGGCTCAGCATACACAGGTGACAATTACTGAGAGTCTACTCTGTGTCTGGTGTCATGCTAAGTGCTTTTCCCTGCATAAGCACCCTGTAAATGTTAACGCTGTTCTTTCTTTCTTCTAACAAACAGACTCCATTAGGAGATCTACCTGGATCTTTGAAAATTAAGCTGGGCAATGAACCAAATTTCTTTTCATGGAAACAAAGCTATTGTATGTGGGTTATAAAAGGGACTACTATTGCTCTCTTGATGACACAGAGAGGCACACAAGAAAGCATGGAAGGAAAGTATCAGTGAGAAGACGGAGGTCATAAGCTGGACTCCTCATCTACAGACGTAGTTCCTCTCCAGAAAAAAGTAAACTTAAAGCACAAATAAATTAGGAGTTTATCTATCTATCTATATATACACACACACATAATTTTCCAAATTAACTCTGCAAAGTATAAATAAGTTCTCTCCCTGAGTCCCTTTAAATATTATGTTTCCTTAACCAGAGTTTAAATAAAAAGTTGAGACAAACAAAATACATAAATAAATATTATATTTTCTCAACATTTTTAAAGAAAAAATAATTTATAAAAAAAAGCTATATTCAAGTATAACTTTGTGGAAATCCACATACTATGCAAAACAAAATACACCAGCCTCCCTTACTAAAATGACAACTAAGGCAGAGATCTGGGTTTCATTGTACATTCCAGAGCCAACAAGAATGATATCGATTTTCAGATTATCTGCTCTTTTATATTACTCATACCTCCTTTCTCCTCTATTAGTGAACAGAGCTGAACTGTCTGTGCATTTGCTTGATTCCACTGGGAGGCCTGAATCACCACTTGGAAATATCAATCATTCCTTCAAGATTAGTCTCTACTAAAAGCCTACAGTGAAATGATAATGCACTAACCTGTCTCCAGTTAATGGCAAAATAATGGTTGCTTGAGAAGAAAACACAATGAAAGATAATCTCATTTGAGGGCTGCAAAATAAGAAAAGAGGCAGTTAAAACATTTTTAAAAGAAATACTGATACAATACAGATACATAGCTATGGAGTCTCAGTTAAAATCAGACTCTGATGGTCCAGGCTTCTTTTTAAATGGAACTCCCTAAATAGATACACTAACTCTGCTTAACATTACCGCATAAGCCATCTTGGATTTAGTCAGTGCTTCTCAGCACTCAGACAATCCTCCATGACCCATAAGGCCATTTAGGGAAGAGACTACCTAGAAAGACGAATTCTAGGCCAATGTAAAATCCTTTCGTAGAAAATACTTCTTCCTTTACCTATTTTCCCCATTCTACCTCATCTCCTTAAAGGAGGCCAGACTCTTCTGAGCGATTGTCCTTAGCAATATTTAGGGCTGGAGAGCAGTCAGTTTGATTTAATTACCACAATTATGATATGAGACAAAAGTGATTCAGAAGTAAGAGTATCATGGACAATGTGAAAGAGACTAACAAATCAGTTTTGATTAGACATTTCCAATTGTCCTAGTCTCAAACATCATACTTCCACTGGCAACACCTGCCCCAGTCGGCTACATCTTTTAAGCATTAGGCATTTATCTCACATAATGGTTTTTGTCTCCAAGACACTCTACACCACCACGACTAAGATCTGAAACTGAAGACAGGAAACTAAGATCTATAAACTGAAGATCGGAATGATCTCAAAGGCTTATCCATATTTGAAGATATTCTCTCCAGTAGTCAGTCTTTATTCACTTTCTACAATGTATTATGAGTTAGTAACTAAGCAACTAAATTTGAGCCAGAGAACTGTGTATCATAGAATTCCAACTTGCAAACCAGACCAAATCAATAAAAGCCCCACTTCTTCAAAATGTGTATTGAAATGTTCTACTACTTTCGATCAAAATCTATGTAACGCTCTCTGCACACTCTCGGATTAAATCAGAAAATTTATAAACAACTGTCCCTACTGCGTTTAACATTTAAAGATAGAGGGCCTTATTTATTTTTCTTTCCTAGACAGTTTTACTTCAGACCTTGTCCAGAAATGAGAGTGTTATACTTGGCTTCTTAAGCAAGAGACTGATGATTGAACATGGACAAGCATACATTTTTATAGGGATAAGTTTACTGCTGCCAATAACTGAAAGCAAGGATTGCCTAGGCCTCTACAGATTGTTTGAAGTTACTTGCAACATGACTTTCAAAATGTTTTGATCATCCAAGCCTGTTTTACAGAAAACATTTGGGCTAACAAGACTGAAAGAAGCAATATTTAATGATACAGCTCCTTTTTGTGTCCTTTCCATTATCTTGATAAACTTGCATTTGCTCATTGCATTTTTTTCTTTAAAAAAAAAAAGAAGAAGAAAAAGAAGAAAAAAAAAGGCTCAAAAAGCCTGGTGTTCTGGGGTTATTTTTAAATAGAGATGCCACTAATTCCTAGTTACCTCTAAATAAGAGAGTAAGCTGGATTTCACAGCAGTTATGCTTTTTATAGGTGAAAAAACCAGTCTTTCCTAGTAAGGCTTATTGCATATATAGAACAGTTAAATTTTAAACCAGCCACACACCCACACATTGGGTAAACACAAGTCATCTCTTTAAACACACACAGGTGCCTTTTCTGGTAGTGGGTTATTAACACATGTTCATTTGAAGTTTATCAACACTTTTTTTTAATGGGACCTTTACAATGCTAAGAATTGTGTGGAAAGAAAAATACATTATGGATACTATTAGCATAAAATTTGTTTTATGTGATAAATTATGAGAAAGCGCAACTAAAATTCAAAACAGATGAAAATTCAGAAAGGAAAAGACATTTGTAATAGTATTTGAAGATGCTTCCCAAGGGCCTGAGCCAAGTTTCTGGGATCCAGATGAAATAAGCCCTGAACGACTGAAGGGCTGTCCTAATAACTACATGTGTGTAATAGTGGTCTTGAGGCACTTAAAAATCAACATTTCATGAGAGGCTTTCCCTGCGAAAGGTTTCAAAAAAGGAACATCTTACACTTCAGTCTACTTCCCTCCACCTCAAACTCCCCTGCCTGGAAAAGTAAAGTGGGAGAAATACCTCACAAATCTCTCTGTAAGTTGCTGGACAAAATTATAAATTTCAATCCAATTATTTGCCACACTCCCAGACCTGTAAAATGAAATTGAACTGATGAGAAACAAACAAAACATTTACGTGGGGGGTAACCCAGCCTTTACTTCAAGCAAAGTAACAGTATCGGCAGCTGAAACAGGCGCTAAAAGAATCAAGGAAGCCAACCCATCTTCGGGGACCACCTGCCCAATTGTTTGGAGTAGGATGCCGCCTCTTCAAAATAAACACAACCTTCCTTTACAGGAAATGCAAACCACCTTGAGTACGTTGACCCTAGGGTTTCCCTGGCTACAACGAAAGCGCTGTGATCAGGATCAGACCCGGCAAACTTTAGCCAGTTGAGGGGGTGAAGCCAGAGGGGGCCGAGAAACAGGCCCGTCTGGGTTCCGGGGATGCAGACGGCTACCCCAAACAGACACTCTCTCATTTCCCAAGAGGCCCCAGGACTGGCAAACAGTGACCACCCCACCTCCCCAGAGAGCGCAGCAGCTCGGGGCTCCTCCGATCACCACCCAGCCAGCACAGATAAGAAAGCGCTTGCCCTTCGGATGGGGATAGCACAAAGTACCCGTCGTCGGCTTTCTAGCACCCCTCCCTAGGGCGCACACGCATCTCCATCTCCCCAGCCACAGCTCATCCAATGCCACCCACCAGAAGACCCTGGACCTCCCTCCGGCACTCACTTGTCCAGGACGAAGTAGAGATCAAAGGCTCCTCCGCAGGAGCGCTGCTCCTGGGCGCTCACCGGCCCCCCAGGACCGCTGAGCACCAGCAGCCACAGCCCGGGGACCAGCCAGCTCCCGGGACTGCGGGCCCGAGAGAGCCCCGCCACCATCCTGCGGCCAGGGGCCTGCGGCTGCCTCCTGCTCGCAGCCCCCTCGGCTCGACTCAGTGGGGACGCTAAAGTGGTCGGAGTTACCAGGGACGCACCCCGGGGTGGGGGACAGCGAGCTGCTGGGGCGCCGGCGCCCGGGGCAGCAGGACCCACTAACTGACAGAGGGAGGGAAAAGGAAGGGAGGGAGGTCCTAGGAGGACAAAGGGAGACACGGCAACCGCCGCAGCTGCAGCCGGAACTCTTGACGAATCCCAGTGGAAGAGCGATCCAGTCCTCCCCCTCCGGATTCCGGAGAGTTCCTGCAGACAATGAGGGCCCACGGCGACAGCGCTCAAGAGAAGTTCCCCCTCGGCTTCAGGCCGAACCTCTAGCACCGGCCGCGGAACCGGAGCGGCAGTCCCATTCCGCCCGGAGCGCTGAAGTCCCGCGGCTGCAGTGCGCGCCGGGGCAGGCGCCCCCGGGACGCGGGGACGCCGCACAAACTTGGAGTGGAGATCCCCGTCCGCCGGTTCCCTTATCCAGTGGCCCACAAGTCGCCTCGGCACTCCAAACTTTCTTCCTAGGTCTCCGCTCTGGCGCAGTGCAACCGGGCGGTCCCCTTTAGGGGTGGAGGCTGAGCGGGCCCTGGGGTTAGTGGCTCCAGAGAAGCCGCTTCAGTCAAGGCCAAGAGCAAGATCTGGCTAGGTCTCTCTATGTGTCAGTGTGCGTCTGAGGGCGGGGCCTGATCTGAAGCCACACACGCACACTTGTGGGTTCGTGCTGAGTGGAACAAGACCAACGCTTGCCAAATTTCTGAAGGGGAAAAGAGTTTAGAACAACAAATGTCCTCTAAAACTAAACATACCCATGTAGCCTGCAGGCCTGGCCTATTTCAGCCGCTGTGTGGAAAGGCACTCTGTGGTTGAGACCCGGGACTAGCAATTCCCAGGGAGGCGGTGGCCTCCCCACTCCGCCCCACCCCCACTACCGCAAGCGCTCGCGCGGCTGTACTTGCCTCGGGACTACCTAAGTACGACAACTTCCTCTTTGTTTATAAACCTACTTTGAAGCATCGTCTCACGAGCCAAAACGGGGCGGGGGAGGGGGAGGGTGGAGTCCAGGCCCTTGGCAGACTCTTTAGGACTGGAAAGTTGTACCTCAAAATATTCCATCCAACTGTCATCTACCCAAAATTCCAGATAATTAAAAATTTCATCTTGTAATAAGCTAGGCCCTCCTTGCCAAACTTGTGCTGGAGTTGGAGTTTGAGAGCATTCACATTCTCTGCTTACTCATTCTGTGTTCTGCCTCTCTCCTGCCCATCACCTCCACCTGTGACTTCGGCCTTCCCCCTGTTGAACTGGCTTTCAGAACTTGCAATCTCACTGACGGGAATATGAGGTGTCCCCTCTTCCTTTATATTTTAGCTAAGTCGATGCTTTATGAGAAAAAGTTCATATAGTGCTGAATCACATATTGCCTTTTAGCATCTCTTCTGTTTGTTGTTGTGTGTATTTAACTTTTCATTTACATTATCTTCCGTGTACAACCAAATTTGTAAGCTCTTTGGGAATAGAAACCAGTCACTTTAACAAAGATTTACTGAGTACCAATTATCTATTAGGCACCGTTCAGAACAAGATGACAAGCCCCGGCTTTCATGAAGCTTGCAGCCTGGTTGAGGAGGAAAAACAGACCAAGATAATAAGTAAATATCCATATTAGCAGTGGTTTGCAGAGACTTAAAATATGGTAATATGATAGAGAATGACTGACTAGGTTGCCTTAACAAAAGGCAACCAGCTATTCCAAGAACCAAAAGAGGAAACATTCCTAGCTTTTGCAGCTCACCATAGGGATTGGCTTAGCACATTTAAGAAAAAGGAAAGAAAAGCAGAATGGCTAGAACTTTGTGGGTAAGATGAAGTAAGAAAGGCAGGCAGGGGCCAGATTATGTGGTGCTTTGTAGACTGTGACAAACAATTCAGATATTTTATACTAAGTGTGATGGGAGTCCATTAGAGGGTTTTAACCCATGCAGTGGGATACAGGATAAAGTATTACGATCTCTGCTTTTCAAAGATCATTCTATCTGATATGACACAATGGATTTGGAAGCAGCAAGAATGAAAGCAAGGAGACCAGTCAGGAGGCTATTATAGTATCGGGGCACAATAAAATGGTACCTTGGACCATCATCACCCCTATAGCAGCTAAACTGAGGCATATGAATGGATGAAAGCTTTAATAAACTCAGACAGACCCCCAGTTTGGAAATATCTGCCATTGGTGATGGAAATTCCAGTACCATCCGCTTCTAACCTCATGGGGTAGAGAGGGTACTGATAGGACAAGTGGTTGGCTGACAGAATGGAAGATAACATACTTTTGTTAGAAATTTCAAATAATTGAGCTCTAGAAGAGAGTCTAAGGAAAGGGGATGACTATATTCAAAGCATCCTAAATCTGTCCTCTTTGGCTTCATCTTTTCTTGAGTTTCCGAAATTTTTATTCCTCTGTAGCCATCAGTTCTCAGGGGATGTGCTATACCTCCTCTTCTTTCACATTTGGGCCCCACTGTGGATACACTAATCACTTTGCCTTCCCACAACGAAGCTGAAACAGGCTGACATCTTCAGCAAACTTGTATCAGCAGCCTGTTAAAGTTTCTTGTCAAGGTTTTTATTATTTACTGTTGGTTATAACTGGTCTCCATTTTCAACTTTACTTTTAATCAAGACAGAGTCAAGGATAACATATACCTTAGCAATTAATACCATATCAGTACATGACTGAATAAAATCTGGGGGAAATCTGTCAGAAAGTAATAACAACTGGTTTAAAAGGGGGACAGAAGATGAAGAAATATGAGGCAGGAGGCTCACTCCGTACTCTAGCCTCATGATGAAGTATTCTAATCTCACGTTTATTGGCTTTCTTTTTGCCTAGCTTCTTTTTGTTGTTGTTGTTTCAAGTATTTATTTAAATTCTAGTTAGTTAACATATAGTGTAATATAGGTTTCAGGAGTAGAATTTAGTGATTCATCACTTACATGTAACACCCAGTGCTCATCACAACAATTGCCCTCCTTAATGCCTTTCAGCCAATTATCCCCATCCCCCACCCACCTCCCTCCATCAACCCCCAGTTTGTTCTCTATAGTTAAGAGTCTCATGGTTTACCTCACTCTCTTTTTTCTTTCCCCCTTCCCCTATGTTCATCTGTTTTGTTTCCTAAATTCTAAATATGAGTGAAATCATATGGTATTTGTCTTTCTCTGACTGATTTATTTCTCTTAGTCTAACATACCCTTGTCCCATCCATGTCCTTGCAAATGGCAAGATTTCATTCTTTTTGATGGCTGAGTAATATTCCATTTTATATATTATATATATGTATATGTGTGTGTATATGTGTATGTATATATATATATATACACACACCACATCTTCTTTTTCCATTCATCAGTTGATGGACATTTGGGCCCCAAATCCACAATTTGGCTACTTTGATAATGCTGATAATGCTGCTATAAACATCGGGATGCATGTGCCCCTTCGAATCAGTATTTTTGTATCCTTCGGGTAAATACCTAGTAGTGCAATTGCTGGGTTGTAGGATAGTTCTATTTTTAACTTTTTGAGGAACCTCCATACTGTTTTCCCAAGTGGCTGCACCATTTTGCATTCCCACCTCCCTTGGCTTCTTGATTCATTGCCTGCTCATCTTCTCAGACCCCACAAACTGATCCAAGAACCTATCATGTCCTAGGCCTAAACTAAAGCAAAATATCTTGAACTTAAAACTTGTTCTTCCTCAAAATTCCCAGGCCCCCTGGTGTCTTCCTACTCAGTTCTTCTGTCCTGACTACAAGACCAGCTGAGCTGATTGACATATTAAAGCATATTACATTCTTTTGTTTGTTTGTCTGGGTAATTGACTGAGCCCAGTTCTGGAAATTTTCTCATGGAAGATCTATTATGAAGCAGGGAAGTGGCCTCACCTTGCAGAGACAAATAATTAATCAAATCTCTTTTACCTAGCAAAAATTAGGGGAAGTCATCAATTATGGAGACAACCAACTGTCCAGATTTGCCCCAGACTGAGGGGTATCCAGGGAGACAGGGCTTTCAGCGCTAAAACTGGAGCAGTCCCTGGGATGGTCCATGGCGAAGGAGGCTGTTGGCCATCCTATTCCCAAGTAATAGTGAGGAACAGGGAAAGCAAGAGCAGGTTTGGGAATTTCACCAAGGCATAAGAAGGAACAGTGTTGACAGTACGCCTTTCTGTTCCCCTGTCTCAGGTGAGAGGCCTTGGGCATTGTGTCAGCTGGACACTAGCCAGGTAAGGTTTCAAACTGACTTTTGCACCTCAGCAGACACGCTGGAACCCTGTGTAACTTTCGATTGTAAATCAAGAATGGGGTAGGGAATGCAGATGTCTGAGCAGAGAGAGAGAAGTTAGAGTGAATTAGAGAAACAAATCTAAAATGCTTTTCTTTTATCAAATATCTGGACTTCTGCTGAAGTATTTTGCTTCACAATCCATGCAAGCCTCTATTCTTTGAAAATGACTCTTTGTACCAAACCAAACTTCTAATTCAGTATTAGAATTGATCACTGTTACATAAAATATGCTAATAAATCCAAAAACATTTTCAACTCCGTTTCATGCAGTTCAAATTGCTTGAAATTGACACCTGATAACTAAAAGTGTTCACTATCATTGTCTACCTCTTTTACCTGCAGAGCTCCTATGGAAGTCATGTTAGATTTTATTATTTTCTATTTTTTTTTAATTTACTGACTTTCATTCAACTATGTTTCTTGATATCTACTATGTGTCTATTGCTGTTCTAAGCACAAATCTTATTCCCTGCTCTCAGGAGTTCACTTTTCCAATATCCTATCACCAAGTTACTTCTAACTCCTCCCTCCCCCACAAACAACTAACAGAAGGGGCAAAAAGGTGACAACAATAAACAGAAAAATAAAATAAACATATCCTTTATGTGTTAAAAATCATATTATCTATATTGTTTTCAGTAAATATCTTTGTATGACATCCACAATGACAAATATGACTCTCCTGGAAGTTAAGTACCACACTGGAAGTGATTCATATCCACATTACATGTGGAGTGATTCATTATATGATATCTACAGTGATTCAGAGGAAGAAAATAAATCTTCATACCGATAGGTGACAAAGCTTATTTAACTTGTATTGAGTACAGTCATTACAGTAGATTTCCCCAGTACCTGAACTAGTTCCTGAGAATGGAGGAACCGCTTTTGGGAAGTGTGATTGCTACTAAGTTAACATCTCTACGCATGACAACAGGGTCTGCATTTAGGATTAAATGTGTTTTAAATCCAGTTTCCCAGAAACAGACCTGAGACTCTGGGATTTGCATGCAGGAGGTATACTGGAGCATGCTCCGTCAGAAGCAAAACCTGGAGGGCAAGGGAAGCGGGTAGGAATGGTCAGAGGGAAAGCTGAACCATGGCACAGTTGCAAAGGAAGCCTCAGCCAACCCCAACAGCAGCTCTGGAGCTGGGATGGTCCTTTCCAGTGGTCCTGAATTG